CTTGCATCATCATCATCAGTATTAAGATTGTGAGCTGTGCTAGTGCTACTGCTACTGTGCGGGGTGCTGCTGATTCCAACTTTATGAAAACCAACACTAAACAATGTGTGGGAATTTTTAAGAGCAGCAGTTTCCTTTTCCTTTCTACGCTTTCGCTTCTCAGAGCCAGACAAATATGATCTTTTCATTTTACTGATTATGCTTGCACATGTGCCTAGGCATGCATGACTGCCTAGCCACATCCCATACAATTTTTTGTAATAATAAAGAAATTATTTATTGCAAAGGGCCCCTAGTTTTAATCTTCCCCTGGGCCCCATGTCTTCTCTCAGCGGGCCTGATTACAACTAGGCAAAGTATGCAAGTATAATCTACACACTATCAGTATAGTCCATTAATTATTTACTGTATCTCTACAGGACACTTTATTAATTAATTACTTGAGGTATTTGATGGTTCTTTAGTTTGATGTGATTCCACAGTTATCGTTAGTCTATCCAACTGTTCCTTTATCTTTTGATGAATAACCTGTCGATCCTCTTCTCTTTTATCTAGTGTCTGTTCACTGGATATTTCCTGGTCCAGTTTCAATGTATCTCTTTTATAATCTATCAGTGACACTGTACATTATTAATAAATTATTAATAAATAGCACCTTTAACTTTATCCATCAATTCTTCATTCTCTTCTCTTTTATTTAGTATATGTACACTCATTACTGATATCTGTTCTTGTAGTTCAGCTATTTCTCTCTTAATATCTGTTAATGATTCATTCTGATCCAGTAAACCTATCATAGTGTAATTATAATACACTAACACATACATTATGATCCAGTACCAGTTTTATTTGTTAATATTTGTTCTATTTCCATTTTCATTCCCTTTAAGGTTTTGTATGATGCTGCAATAATAATACTAATAACAATTTATAATAAAATAATAAGTTTCTGACCTGAAGTAGAATCTGTACTACATTTAATGTGATATTCTTTTTTCATTCCTAAAATAATTATTACAATTAACATTAGTTTTTACATATGAAGGTGACAAGTGGATAACTCATTATGAGTCATTTCAATAGCTACTATCACATTTTGTATTTTATTGACTTTGTACATGATACTCCACCAATGTTAGGTACTATTATGCAGACATTGCACATGTATAGACGATATATGAATATTTACATTATTTTTTATGATAAAATAAATACAAGTACATGATCCTGTTTTGTAAGTAGAAGAATAAAATCATGTACACTGTATTTACTTAAGCCATGCCTTAATTGAATTTGGTGTGACCAAGTAACACATATCCTCAAGGACATCTATTGATTCTCTCTTCCATCCACTTCTAGCAGTGAATCTGACAATAGCAGTTTTTCCAAACTGGAAAAACTCATTTATCTTAAATAATACTTAACATTACATTACTCATCTACTGTACTATAAGTGCATTTTATACAAACATATAAATAACTTTTAAGTGTTTTTGCCCTCTCTTCTTCATTTCAATACATGATATTAGATGATTTTTTAGTAAAATACATGAATTAAGTTTTCTAAAATAGAGAATATTTTTGCCTTTAGTACTAGCAAGAGTAGATGATACTAGTAAATACAAGCACTTTATTTTAAAAATAGAAGTAAATACAAGTAAATGAACTATTAAGTAGATGTGCAATGTCTGGTCATATTGTGTATAATTACTTTGTAGCTTCTCTTCCAAATCATTGGTTGCTTCTTTTACTTCCTTTAATTCCACTAGTGTATATTCCTCTTCATTTTGATCCTCCTATCAGTAAATAAGTATTACACTATAATAACTAACAATAGAAGAAACTACATGTAATAAATTCTGATTTATAATTCTGTATCCACACATAATAAGTGAATAAGTGATACTGTATAGAAGGAAAATTGGTGAATTTAAGGCGGATTATTGATAAAGCTACCAAAATAAAATCTCCCTTTTTGCCTTATTCTGAGCATGCTTAGTAACATTTGGCTGTCAATTTGCTAATATAATTATATGGAAACACTAATATTAAGCACAGCCACCCATATACTGCAGTGTCAATAAATTCCACAATATATACATGTACACAATGTTTGATAATAGTAATTACCATTAACCTTAGTTTTCTTTACTAATGACATTTCTTGTATTTTTTCCTTCATTTTATTCAATTCCTATATGTACATTATTATGAAACATGCAGTGATTAATAATCCATCAATAAGCTACACTAATATAACAACACACTCCAACAATAAGCTCTTATACATTGAAGTATTAATTCCTCCTATACATGTAATACCAACAAACAAGTACCTTTTCTTTTTCACTAAGCATGTCTGTTAGTTGCTGTACAGTTTCTTTAAGTTCTTTCTGTCTCTATTGATTATAATAATAAAATAAACAAACGCAAATTATTATACTTTTGTATCATGAGGTTGTTCCTTTATCTCCTCTACCTCCTCTTCCAGTGGTTCCTGTATTTTCTTTATAATACAGTATAATTATAATGATAATTACTGACAATATATATACACATACTTGTATCTTTTGTTTCTTCCATATTGTGCAGTATCCAACAGTAAGCTTCATTAGACCATTCTTTATTAATAATTCAAGATTCTCACTCAATTTTATAATGAGAGCTCCAGT